GAATTCTATCATAATGTATTAAAAAATAATCACTTTATATACTAATCGGAAGTTTATCACTGCCGAAATAAACTTATCGAATCGGCCTAAAATCATTCGGTCAATTTTTTACCAGATGTCCCAAAATTTATGAGAACAGCTGTAAAGTCCGATTCCAAGCCAAACTTGGGACTCGACTCGACTCGCATTGTACGTGCATCTTGTATATTGATATAGTTCTGAAAAGAACTGAGTATGCAAAGTATGCATGAATACATTTTTTTTTTACTATATTTAAATGTTCAAGATGCACGTGAAATGCGAGTCGAATCCCAAGTTTGACTTGGAACCGGACTTTAACAAAAACTCGACTCTTTGGAGTCGAATTGGACCGGACCGGACTTTTAACATCCCTAACAGATGGTGAAAAAGATCAATAGTAAATTGGGGTCCCAAAGTATCACGAATGATGCTCACCTGGCAACATTACACATTCCAGCAACTTCTTTTACACAAGGCAACCGAGTATTACGATAGAAACGTGGTGATCTGTGAGGAAGCGTATACTAATACTTCAAAGACTTGCGGTGCATGGGCAAAATCAACTTTTAAAGAAAAGCAAGCTCTTTGTTTGCAAAGACTGCAGAGCAAAAATGGAGAGACTTTAATGGTGCTAGAAATATACTACAGTATTAAAGTATCTATCCGAGTCAGATCTGCCGATCTGACGAGGCTTGCTGCGTCACGGCAGATCCTCGATTTTGATTGGCTAACGGCTGAGGATCTTCAAAATTTTGACCCGCATAATTGTTTACTAATTTCCGGCCAGAATTAATTTTTTATTTTATAAAAATAGAAATTAGCCCGCGTTATGGTAAAATTGGCTCAGGAACAATTTTCACTTGATGGGCGGCTGTGATTTCATTAGAATAATTCCGGCCTAAATTTTTGATCGTCGCTCTTAGCCAATCAAATTTGAGAATCTGCCGTGACAATTTTGTTGCCAAATTACATAATATAAATATCACTAAAGAAATGCAATAAAGAAATGCGAGTGTCTAAATTAACGTAGAAGCACTAATTAAAAGTGTCGAGAATGCAATTTTGCATATATTGTAATACTATTTCTCAGCCATTACTACTTACCCTAACTGTTAACTTGTAGCTTTTTGCGTCTTATGTCGATTTATTCTATATATGGTTTATGTTACAGAAGCAAATAAGTGAACCCTAAAATTTAACACTTCACCGTAAAAAGAAAACATTTTTTCACCGATTTAAAACAAGTGATGATTAAAGTCTGAATAGTCAAATCTGGATTTAACATATTTATGATCATAATCATCACTTGTTTTTAATTACGTAATAAATCCTCCACTACTCTCCGAGACAATTATAACTGAATCACTCTCTATTATAGTATAATACAATGCGTGATATGAATACACGAGTGTCACGCTAGGCACTATATACAGTAATAAACGGTATATTTTACTTTAGACACAAGATTAGTGAAAAGATCATATTAGAAATAAATTATTCCTCACCCGGGTGAATCATTCCTTAACACAAAGGCAAATCGGGCACGTAACGTAACGGTAATCTCGATATGAACCTAATTTGAACAGATACTTGATGCAAATAGGAGACTTTTAGTATACGTACAATCAGATTCATATAGTAATCAGAATGCCGATAGCTTTATAGGTACACTCTACCCTCGTTATAACGGACCCTTCGGGCTGAAAGATTTTGTCTATTATATCCGTAATAGATGAATATCCGTTATAATGTTATATAATATAATAATATTAATTTTAAATTGTTTTAGAAAATTACTCCGTTATAATAAGGTACCCGTTATAACGAGAGTAGAGTGTAAATTGATAAAACTTGCTATAGAGCTATGGACATTCCGATATATATCGAATGCCCGATTTGTATCCGAAAAGTCTCCAAATATCAGTTTCAGGCTCGTATCAAGAGACCTGTGGATTTTGTGATATAATTTAACAAATTATGTTTTCGATATTAGCAAATTATTTGATTTACTGCTGATTAA